CTCTCTCTCTCTCTCTTTCCTTCCTTCTCTTTTTCTTAAGCCTATTTAGATCGAGAAGTAGAACTGACGAGCCGATCAATTCTCGAACGTAACATAGTCCGCCTTTTGCCTCAATCTCTATGAATAATCGCCTCTTCTTCTCTTAGATAGACAAATTAGATAGATAGACACATTATTCTCTTGCGAAGCCATATTTTTTGCGATTAATTCATTGACATATAATTGGCAATACCCGCTCCTAGAGATTGTGACGTAGAAAATTTTTTTTTATTCTGCCGGAAGTACATATATCGTTTTGTTCACGAATGTTTGACAAGATTTTTCTTCACTTTATTTAGTTCGATGTGAGCCTCTCAAAACCCGTGTGCGGCTAACTTTGTGCCTACAGAGTAAGCTCGGGCGCGAAGTTAAAACCGTCGCAGAGAAACCACCTCTTACTAGGATACCGTTACGAATAACTCACAGGTTTCTTTTGCCTTTAGTTGAGCAGAAAAGAAATAATTGCGAGAGGGGTTACGGCGGTTTCGCTAAAATATTAATTTATTTAATAACGTTTATTTAACCATTTTATAAATTATTAATTATTTTAGCTACATTGTGTCTCAAATTGAAATATTTATTTCTCAGAATTTTTACAGTTCGGTTGTCAGCTATTTCTTCACGAAATAACAAATCGCGTACGACCGCTTAATTGGATCGGTAAAAGCGTCACTGAGCTCTCAATTAGCAAATTTCGAGCCTTCTTTCGTGTCGTGACGAGGCGAGTCTTTGCAAATTATAAAAAATATAAATATACTTGTGAATTTTAAATAGGCGGTGACTTCTAACCACCCTGTGTAACGCGTTCCTTCGACGACCGGTAATAATGCTTCCACTAGCTAACGCTGAGAAAATTCTTTTCTCTTGTTTCTTGCGTCTTACCGCAGTAGTGTAGAGAAGATTACACTTAGGCATTCATTTTGGCCAGTGGTTACAGCAGCAGTAGACTCGTAGACTTGCCCGACTTATCCGATCGCTTTCTACTAGAACGCAGTTTTTTCTCCGCTCCTTCAATCACACACGTCACACTAATCGACACTCTCTATATTTTCCGTACACACGCGTTATAGAGTGTTATAAAATGCGTACGAGCACTCGCGGTGATTCGCGAGTGATCACTCTCTTTTTTCTCTCTCGGTAAACCGCAGTAAACCGAAAAATAAGAATTTGCGCGCTGCAATAGTAATCCATCCGAATTCGGCGGACCGAGCTGTCTTATATGATCGCGATGGATATAACTTCTTCCGGATAATCTGTCGCTCCCAAAGTAGATTAAGAAAAGAAAAGACTAATACGTAGTGATTGATCAATTTCTCCCGCGGCAAGCAGTTCGTAATTTATTATCGTAGCTCGATAGATGAAGAACGAGTAAGATTCGCATCTCTTGCATTCTCCCAGTGTTCATCGATAGATACAGTTCCCGTTTTGCAGATTTAGCGAGCACTTAACAACTCACCGACGCAACGTGCGCGGAGTGTCTCCGAAAAAAAAAAAAAAAATGAAAGATGGCGTCGCTCGAGTGCTGATAATTTTTCGTGAAAATTTTTACGATTTTAATTAATTTGATGATTTAAAATGAATCGAGCGCGCCGTCGGTTTCGGGACACCTCGTATAACGGCATGTTCCAAGTTCCTCGACTCTGGGATATTTTGGATATCTTTCATATCTTTGAAAAAAGCAAATTTGGTCGGACGAGTCAATTTCTAGTGAAACACGATTCAGAGATTCTAATTGAAATTACGGAAATTCTGTTCAATTCAAGTAAAAATTTTGATAATTTAGGTTGAATTCTGATAACCTCAATCTTCTATATCGTTCATATTTCACCAGAGATTGGTTAATCCAATCAAACTTTTTTCTCGTGTGATATCTTTCATTTCTGTGATGTCTTTCATATTTGATTACTTTATTCTTTAATTATAATATTGTCCCTACGTGTATGTGTAATTACTCGCGACGGGGTTTCTTTAAGTTTGATATCACAACGGTATTCCAGAGTCGCGCAAACATCCGACGCCCCTGTCGTATGGAACAATAAACTTCGCGTGAAAACCTTACTCTCTAATTGTGTTTTACTAGCTTGCGTGTATTTTATATACTCAGACCCATTTTTTGCATACCAAGCAGCAGAATTTCAATTTTGCCCACGATTATTTGGCATATATTTATACATGTATGGTCTTTGCGGAGCGAACCGTCCGTGTTCCACCTTGCGCACCCAACAAGGACGATCGAATTTACGGCACGTTTCCTTGGTGCACGAAAACTGTGACGTTCGATTATCGTAAGATATAATCAACAAGGCAACGCACAGTCGTGGTGGAGCACCGACGCCGCACCCCCTTTTCTGCATGCTTACTAACAATTGCATTTTTGCAGTAATGTTACATTTTTTAAGACGATCAGTCGCGTACTAACGCATTTGCGGTCACTCACGACACTCTCGTGCGTGGAAGAAGCACGGAGAAAAAGGATTGGTTGAATTAATGACAATAACGCAGCTGAGTGCGTTTTGTCGAATCAAATTCGGTTTTCAAGGACCGGGATTCTATTTCCTTCAACATGCGTTAGTAGTTGTGTCATTGCCACGTCAATTCAACCGATTTGTTTTTCTCCGTGAGGGGAATCACGTTTTTCCTCTTTCGTGTGCGTGTAACATAGTCCCGATCAACATATACAGGCTTTCCGCGATGCAATACACTCTTGCCAAAAGTTGCCTCGCTGCGATTGCGCCTACCACTATTACTATTACTTTTGCAGCTCTCGTAATACTACTCTCACAACACGTTCTCTTTCTCTCTTTTTCTCTCTCGCTCTCTCTCTCTCTCTCTCTCTGTCTCTTTCTCTCGAGTAGCGCGAGACAGCGAGAGCCAGCCCGTTTTGAGAGCCGTTACTACACTACTAGTGTGAACGCACCATTATTCACGATATTCTTTCTTTTCTTAGCATGTCCGCCTCTCTACTCTGAAAATTCTTTCTCGCCATTTTGTACCAATTTTGATTGACTCACGATTCTCTTGAATGCTTCCGATCTTTGAGCGTACTTGCATTCTACCCACGATTTTTCGAGAGACCATCGACGAGAGGTAACGCACAAGAAAGAGCAAACCAAAAAGCCTGTATGTGCCTGTACATATTTAATTCACTTATTATTATATGCGTGTGTCGTGTGCGGAGGGGACTAAAAAACAAAAACGGGTAAATAGAAAAAAGCGCAAAGAACGAAAAAAAAGCGGTAGATAAGAGAAAGAAACGAAAGAAATTGTCGATCCGAAAAATCGAGAGATCCCCAGTCGATCAGCTCTGATAGCCGATGTGCTTTCGCACGTTCGAATTTAGCAATCGGCCTTCTACAACTGCCTGCTGGACATGGCGGCGGTAAATCACACCGGAAATAATCACGGAACCGGAAGTAGGGCGAACAGTCTCGAACCGGTGACGCGACCGCTCATGGACGCCAAGCAAGATCGACACAAAGAACACAGGGATGAGGAGGAAGGGGCCCTAGGTGTCCTCGCAGCCGCCGAGCATAGACGTCAACGTAGCATCAGGTATATGAAATGTCTCACTTAACTATTCACTTAATTATATATGAAAGTAAATCTCCAAATTATCCGTACGCGGATCGAATAAAACTGTTAATTGTCCGTTAGTCGTGGAATTTTTATACAAAGACGGGAAGATATGGAGCGTGCAATTTTAACCTCCATTTTGTGTCGCATCTAAACGAAATTGCTCAGCACCTCTTAGGTGTATGCGATCAGAGAGTTAACTTTTTGGTTGATTTTGAGATGATTTGTTTTGGACAAGGTAGAACCGGAAGAGGAGCGATTTACTTTCTTATGTTTTATATCTGGATTCGGAACAGTTTGCCAATTTCGGTCGATTCTCGGGAGCTACGCCTTCTATCTCCCCCTTGCCGCGCAGCGGGCCATGAACGTGACAGTCGTGACCAGTCGCAGCTCCAAGCTTACAGGCACGATCGTCACTTTCTTGGCTCGCCGCGCGGCAAGGGGGAGATAGAAGGCGTAGCTCCCGAAAATCAGCCAAAATTGGCAAACTATACAGAAGAAATAAGAGAATATAGAAAATAAAAGAGTCTGAAAATTTAGAAAAAAAATTATTTAACCCTTTGCACTCGGAGACATCTTTGTTAGGTTTAAAATGTGTCCTCTGAGAGGACATCCGAGGGCAAAGGGTTAATCATTCAATCACACATTTTATCTTAAATTTAATTATTTCTTCCATCTCCCTAACACATCCAGCACATTAATGAGTACGATGGTTGTTCTGATTTCAGAAACAAAAAGGTGAACTGGAAGATGTCTCACCAGTACGATATACTAGGCAGCAGCGGAGAGAGTAGCCAGGGAGGGGGTGGGTCTGGGGTTGTACTCGTAGTTAATGGCGAGGATCGCGCCCCCGAGCTAGAGCCATTGCTGGCTGAGGTGCCCTCCCAGCGGGATCAAAACTACTACCACCATCACCATCACGACCAATACTACGATACCGACAATGATCAATACTATGACCATCACCACTACCACCACCACCATCACCATCATCATCATGACCACCGACCACCCTCGTACTACCAACACCAGAACACCTACGCACCTCGCTCCTCGATCCGTTACCACAAGGTGTCGGCTCGGTCCAAGCTCCGCAGTAAAAACAAAAGAGAACATTACTTTCCTCCGTTTGTTATCCTTTCCCTTTGACCCTTTTGACGGTAGTAGATCGCGATAGAGTTACTCGGACGAGTTCCCATTGTCTCGCTCGGGATGCAGTCGCGCACGAATCGCAGATCCGGTCGAAATACCGTGTGTAAAACACGTTTAGTTAGTTGCGTAGTCGGCAAGGTGTTTCTGAACGGAAGAAATCCTGAGATCGCTCTCCTCATGGCGTTAAGTTCTTACAGAACGCAAACTGATATTTTTATTCCAAAAGTAAAGTCGATTATAATTTTTTTTTACGCACCGACATGGATCCATTTTATCGAGTTAAACGAAATATTTGGCGTAGACTTGGCCGATTAGAAAATTCGTCGCATAACATGGTAGCTTCAGAAAATTCGTCATAGGTTCAGAAACATCCTGCATACGGGTAGATTACGTAGATTGTTACATTGTATTTGAAGAGTTTAGATCAGGTTTACCGCGAGATTATCCTATTAGGACGATTATTCCTAGGTTAGGATGTTGTCTGCTTAGTATTCATTGTGTCACCTGAGTTAGATCTACTGTCGAGTATTGCTAGAAGATGTCGTTGTCTCTCGAAGGGGAGAAGTTTTGTCGAGACTTAGGTGAATGAAAAGGTACTCAAAAGGTAGACAAAATCGTATTAGATCGATATTAGCTTTCGGAGGAACGATCAAGATCCTTAGACGGATCGGAACACAGCTGTGTGTTCAGATTAGATCAGGCGGAACCGTCCTAGACGAGTCGATCGACGTTCTTTCCATCAACCCGATGTGTTTAACTTTTCCGATCCGCGAGAACAAGTTACTCCGTCGTCGTTGATCTTTCGAGATGCGGGTCGGAAAGATTGCGCGTGATTTCCCAAGATTCAAGGTCGATTCGCGGCTTAAGAAAATCGGAGACAGTCGCAGACACGATGGCCGATTCTTCGCTTTCGTTCGCATCGAGGAGTATCGAATCGATCTTGAACTTATTCTCTTTATCTCTCCTGTTGAGTGTGTTAGCGCTCCTGTAAATATTGTACTCAACATCTAGAAACACACACACACACACACACGAACACACATACACACACACACACACACACACACACTCTCTAGAGCAAACCTAGATTACTCTAGAGGATAGACGCGCGTTACCCGAACGCTACTTTAGTGACTTCTTCGTGTCTGTCGATGCTAGAAGACAGCTCCCACCCTTGTCCCTTGCTGCTTTCGGCCTTAGGATCACCGACGGGGTGACGTAATGGCCAACGTGATCAATTTTCTCGCGGCTGTCCCGTTCGCCCCGTCGGCTCGTGCGTTTATCTTAATTCGTTGCGTTCCACATTCCGGTAAGTAAACAAGAAATATTCTGCAGCAGCAGACTCTTGTCTCGAAGGTAGTGGATATCTTCCTTCTTCATCATCCAACCGAGCAATCGGAATTTACTACGAGCATGTGCATGAGCGAGAAACTTCTTACTTGCATGCCGTTTTACACACGCGCGCGCGCACATATGTATGCCTCTCTCTCTCTCTCTTTCTATTTATACGAACCACTCTCGTTCCGCCTTATCAACTTCTCCTGTTTTCTGCGAAGCTAAATCTACCCTAATTACCAAAGCTGAGAACCGAAGCGAATCAGACCGCACGTCTCGAGTTGAAATTGCGACGATCGGCATTGCCGTTTCTTCATTGTAAGACTAATCGGTGACGTTGAACGTCGTCTCGTTGGTCCAGCTGATCGATTCTTTAGGAATTGAAGCGAGATGACGATTTGAGCGTGCGTCTGCTTCCGGATTCGGGAGACAAAAGGCGTCTCGAGTTACGATAGCTTCTTGTTCGGAGCGCGAATCAGCTATAATATTGCTAAAGACAAAGAAACCGACAACACCCCGACTCTCCTTCAAATCCCGATCTTGCTGTGTCCGGGGGCAAATTACTAAATCGAAAGTCTGTTCGTTTAGATGGAGCTGCAGGACGTCGTAGTAGATGACTCACGTGCCGGTAGTCTCGAGAGTCTCACACATACCGGCGAGAGGCTTCATCCGCATCATCCCTCAGCGCCTCCACCTAGACATCGTTCACGATCGCCAAGTATAAGGTACTCATAGATGAAAGTTTCGTATTTTCCAAAGTACAGATCTAGTAATTATGTATTATTATCTTTATTAATTCTCGGTATACCGTATTTGTACGTCACAATTGTGAGATGAAATGCGTTCATTCTGTCATAAAAAAAAATACATATTTTTTAATCCTTTCTAAGAAAGAATCAAGAAGGAAACTTTCTAAGAAAGCATCAAGAAGAAAAAAGAATGAGGGTCATGAAATATTAATTCCTACCAATATTTACAACTGTTAAAAAGAAACTCAGAAATTAAAATAGAGTCTAATAAACTTGTCCTTAATAGCATATCAAAGATTAACGGGAACAACTCCTTTGTTTACTGTAACTTGACTTGTATAAAATACAAATGTAGAAATAATATAAAGAGAACAAAAAGAAAGAAAACACGACAAGAAAAAGTATAATTTTAAAGTTTACGTAAATTTTTAAACTTTTTACATATTTATGTGAAACAAGGAGTATGAATGACATTTTGTACAAATTGTACATTTACATAAATTATACAGAGTTAAAGAGATAACATCGCGCCAATGTCATCGTGAATGCCTGATCAAACACCGACGCGCTAGTCGGCTTGTAGGAGCGCTACAATTGTGAGCCGTTTCGTTGTTATTACCATTTGCAGAAGACCCTCGCCAATAATGCATAGGTCGCCATCGCCGCGGCGACATCGTTACGACCATCACGGTCACTACCACGAAGGACCAGGGTTTAGCGACACCGTTAGCAACGTCGTCGAGATTCAAAGGCACACTCATCACCCCCATTCGTCACAGTATAATCATCGACATAGGATACGAGGTACGACGTACCGGCGATAATTCCGGCCAGCGAAAGCCACGGTGCAACGATAAGTCTTTTTCATGAAGCCACGACTGCGAACTCTGTTTCGTGTCGATCATCTCCAACCGGTTTCTCTCGTTGTCTTGATTAGCCTGAAATTTACTACGAACACAGCATCTTTGTACCTACTCTGCCACCGTATACCACTGACACCTTCATATTTTTGGTGTTATTTCCATTATAAATATTTCTCTCTCTCTCTCTATATATATATATATATACATATACATAATTATATATTATTATCTTTTCTCAACCGGCTTGGTGATACTTTTTTGACTCTTTGAGTTTTGGAATTTACTCGGAGAAGTAGCGCCGCGCGCATTGTGTGCACACTATATCGCTGCATCGTTGTCGAAGTAATTGTAATGCAAATGTCGAAATTCTAGCGCACCACTTGAGCGATTTCACGAAAGCAACGAAAGAGAGTTCGTAGTCACGGTTCATTAAGAACATGAATGTTGCTATAAATGGTTTTTACTCGTAAGAGGCAGAGGCTCTGTGTGACTCGATGTAATACGTTTCTTCATTTTGTTCTGTTATGCGCCTACACAGACTATTACGACCACTGCGACTATTACGACGATGGTAATTTCTTTCGCAACTCCTTTTCATTCCCTTGTCCACGGCAGTTATGGTGTTTACGATAATGATAATCAACAAACGTTTGGCTTTCACCGTTTCTTCGTTCCTGTTTTTTGCAATGACACGCGCAAGAGACACCTACCGACACCACCACCACCACTATCACCACCACCATCACCACCATCACCACCATCACCACCACCATCACATTAACGTTATACTAATATATACACGGTAGACCCACCAACCCGAACAAACCGATGTCTCACACCAACAGCACTGATGCTCCGCGTGTTTCGCGCGGGAAGCGTTTTTCCTTGTTTTCGCCACTCGATGCTTTTTATATTAGAGAAGAGGCTGTTCACCGAAGCTCGATCGGATCTAGAGAAATGAAAATAGACTGTCCTGGTATAGATTGGTAGAGTAGACATCTCTCGAATTCGTTAGTAATGCAACGTTTCTGACACTCGAGTACAATCTACTCACGTTTTATAGACGATTGTGGTCGATGCGCTGCGGTCATAGTTCGAAAGACGCAACTAGATACCGTCGTGTTTTCTTATGTTTGGCACGAGTAAGCGATTGAACGTGTTGGCTCTAAAACAGTTATATGACGTGGTTTGTAATATCGTACAATTGCGCGTAGTTCTCACTCGTCCGCAAAAGAATTGCGTGTCTGCCGACCGCGTTAAATAATTATGTCGCTATTCTATCACGACTAACGAGATTATATATAGATCTATATATAGTGGTGCACTTGAGTAGTGTCTGCCTAGTAGAACGTGCATGCTGTTAGAACTTGCCTCCTAGAATTTGGACTTGATCGAGATTGAGAGCACCGGCACCTGGACATGTGTCTTGCAGCACTGTTTCGAGTTATTCGCAGCATCACGAAGCACACGAAGCATGCATCATTAACCCTCTATCGGATTGTATGATTTTGCCGAATTAGTACATTAATCGGTATCACATGCTTTCTCGGTGTCGTTTTATATTTTTGCCCGAGGAAACATATATTTACCACATCACACGAATTGTCGAAGAGCGCAAAGAAGCCGAAGAATCTCACACGAACATCTCGAATATTCTCGTTGCTACTGTTGAAATAACCTTTAACAGATGCAGCCGTCGGTCTCCTCCTCGTGGAAGAAAAAGAAAAGAACTGACCCTATAGAGGGTTAATTGCGCGATAGAGCTGTTAGTTTATCCGCGAATCCAAAACCTTCTCTTGTTTCTTCTCCTCCTGTTCCGTTTCTCTGAAGACCGAGCTCTTCGACTCTTGTATACAGAGACCGAGTAACAATCGAGTACCGTTCTAAATATATCGAGACTTCACTACTGTCCACGAATCCACTACTATCCCGCCAATCAAAACGGTCGAATGATCGTTAACGTGGAAAGTCGTCGGACCGGTGGTTACCCGCCGGTCTCCACCTCGAACGGTTTCTCAACAGCCTTACCAACACACGCTTACAATCTGTACTTGTCAAGCAACCCCTGTCGTGTGCCAAAAGCCCTTTCCCCGAACGATTTGTCCGCGTGCGCGCGAAGCGTGCGGCCGAGGACGTCCCTTTAATCTAGCTCTCCATCAGGTCCGTGGAGCGCCTCGACGAGTCCAGCCAGGTCACCGAGTCCGGTTCACCGGATAGAGCGCGGCTCTTACGGCACGACCAGTCTGGAGCAACGTTCGAGGAGCCCGAGTCCGATCGGCGGTCATCCGCATCACCATCGCCGTCGTCATCATCCGCATCAACATAGCTACCCGGTGCTGGTGGCCAGAAGGGGTCAGGGTCGCCAGCTGCCGCCGACGCCGAACAAGCCGTCGACTCTGCAGCTGAAGCCGACCAACATCAACTTCCCCAAGCTGAACGCTTCGCCCACTCATGGCCCGCACATGGGCGGGCCGCATGTGTCGGTGCTGCCAGGTGTGCTGCAGCATCCGTCGCCGCCGCATATGCAGCTAGCTATGCAGCAGGGTCACCTGCGACCGCTCAGCTTCGAGCAGGCGGTTGCGATGGGCCGCGGCGGGATGGGTCGTATGCTGCCCAGCCCGGTGCCGAACGGCTACAAACCGCAACCGCAGTCCAAACAGAGAACGCCTAGGTAAGGAGACTTCCTTCTGATACTTCTTCTTGTTCACCAACCCTATGTCGTTCTGGTCAAAGTCGATAAAAAATAATATCTGCAAATATAGAATGCAACTGATTCTCTATTGATACTCTATTGATGATGCGTTACACTGAGAAGAAAAATTGGTTGACGATAACACAACTAAACACATTTTATTTAAAGGGAATACAATTTTTTAGTCTTATGAGCTAAATTCGTTTCTCAGGAACAAGAAATTCTGTTTCCTTCAACCAAAACAGTTGCTTCATTATCATGTTAATTATCAATGAATCTGTTTTCTTGCGTCGCGTGCAAGCACTTAATTTTGCAGCTTCTGTTTGTTTTTCTCCGACCAATCGAATTTATTTGATTTTACGTCAAGAGGATGTAGTTAAATCGCGTGGCTAAAAGATCCGTTTAGTATATTTGTTGAGATTTATTCAGAATTCGTTCTAGTCAAATTTTGTTTGTTTGTTGAGCAAAGAATTTCTTTTGCAGGTCGCGGCACTCCGACAGTGACGAGGACGATTGGTGCTAGCCAAAGTGGGACCCTGGACGGTGGTCCGGTGATGTGGACGCCCCCAGGCGTCTTAGGGTTTGCGCATGAATTGTCCAAATGGGACGCGCGTTGATTCCGGTGTGCACTCGAACGCAATGGAAGAGCCTGACGAGCCTTGAAACCCCGACGGCTCCCCGACGGCCATGACCAGCCGTGCGGTACCGTGCAGGGGCGGCAATTCCGGTCACGGCGCGGCCTGTTCCGGCAGCAAGGCCGAAAGAAGTCCACGAGGCGGAAGAGAATCGTTGAACGGGGAAACCAACGTCGATCCAAGGCGGACGGTGTTCGGACCGACCCCGAGGGATGAACACGGCGACCGAACAGGGTCAGCAAATAGCAACAGTAACAATAGCAACAACTACAACAACAACAAGAGAAGTCGATGTTTCATCGTTGGATCATGGAATCGATCCATTCATCCACGAGTCCGACAGCGAACAAGAAGTGCGATCACTCATGAGACGACGATATCGCACAAGTCCTGCGAACGAGGAGGAGTGCGATGCGCGGCTAACCTACGAACGATCGAGATGCAATCAAACCGGTCGAGCTTGACGAAGCACGAAGACTCGACTGTCTATTAGGAGACCGAATCAGCAACGCAATGGTCACTGGTCGTGGAAAGTTAACTGCCACGATCGTGCGGTTAGCGAGTAGTCGTCGATCGACCGCCGTCGTCGGAGACGTTCAATGTTGCTCGGTAGCGCGAACGATGATCGGCGGAACGATCGAAGGAGCGATCCCGGTGTGATCGCGTCACGCGACAGCTACATCGAGGAACAAGGTGATGGTGGTGGTGGTAACGGTGGTGGTGGTGGTGGTGGTGGTGGTGGTGGTGATGGTGGTCAGCAGTGAAACTCGTCGTACGCGACAGTGACGAGGCGGACAAAGCGGGTGTTGCCCTCCGAAGAGCTCGAACCCTCCGACCATACGCATGAGTTGATATTTCAGCATCTTCCCTCGCGCCTCGATCGGCCGACGATGGATCGAGGAGTTCGCCAGGGAAGACCCCCCTTTTTATACGATTTTCCGGAGGAGAGACTCATCGAACGGCCAAGTCGGGCACTGCGATCACCACGAACGTTCTATTATCTGTTTGCGTCTGCTATTGCGTGTACGGTGTATGCCTGTATGTACGTACGTGTGAATGAACGAATGAACGAACGACGAGTGTGCGTGCATGAGTGTGTGTGAAACCCCTTCCCTCGCGAGGAGATTCGTCGATAATCGCGACTGACACGTCGAATCGTTCCACTCCGTGCGGCTGACGTCGGTAATATTACTCGTAGTGATGTTACTTGTTCAACAACGAGCTTGATTAAGGGAGGCCGATTAAGGGACGTTGAACCGAGTAGGTGAGAAGGACGGCGAGGTCGACTTTGGGCTTATCGGGCCAGCCGATACGGTCCGGCTGACTCAAACTAGTAGGGCGACTTGAATTTGAGAAATAGGAGAGTACATGGGACAACTTGAGGTTGACGCGACTCGTCGGGTCCCATAGTTTTGCCGAGGTCGGCCCTGCGACGAAGGCTCCTTTTCGAGACTTTGAAGCATTTTATGTTCTTTCCCCCTTTTCCTTTCGCTGTAGGAAGAATCGTCAAGCGAATCGCCGGGAAACATCGCCGCGTAAACAGAACGAACTGACAAACGGCGAGTGCGAGCGTTTCCCAGCGAGTCGCGCGAGACCCTGACCGAGGCAAGGACTGATATTGATGGTTGATGGTTGATGGTTGAGATAATGTAGGTCAAGGGTTGACCCTCTTAACGCGTAACAATCGTACAGGAGAGAGAATCCAAACTGTTCTACCGGGACTCACTAGCTCCATTCTGCCATTAGCGAAGTCGCGCGAGGTAACACTTTAATCAAAAACAAAACCAATTAGAGAGAATGAGAGAGTGAGAGAGAGCGAGAAAAGCGCGGAAAATCGAATATCGCACCGCGAAACAGAAAGAGACAGAGAGAGGGATACGCAACAACTGCCGTTGCGCGATATCGATACTTCGCAGTTGCAGTTCTTGCAGATCGAAACTCGCTTTAGGGGTGAGAACGCGCGCGAGATTGGAGTTGGCATTAATTATTAGGCGCGTTCGTAGAGATTAGAAGTTGATTCGGAGACATTGAGGCAAGGTGATCGACATTAGTGCGATCATTTGTAGTTGCACGTCGTGTGTAATTGAGAGAGAGAGAGGCAAAAATTCGAGAAAATTTGCGGTATTGGTCGATGAAGTCGGTAAAAATTTAACGGGAATAAAACGTAGCTGATCACGCGAAACTTCGGGATGAAATGTCCTGCGTCGAACATCGAACGTGATCGAGGAACGCGTCACGTTTCGGCGAATTGGCGAATTTGAGCAAAGAATGACAAAAAGGAAAGGGACGCGAGACTTCTAAAATTTCTCTTACGCCGCGTATGAAGAGTTCACGACTCGAGATATATACAGGGATAGTTGTAATAGAGTTAGGCAAAATATACAATGAGTCGTGTAATACCGTCAAATCACGCCGAACAGCGTTTCAAGCGTAGAAATCGCATATTGACGTTATATTAACGTTATACGTGCAAGGCGATGTTCTGTTTACGTTATTTCGAGTAAATTCTTTGATCGCTGTCGATCCTCGATAGCGAGAGGAGAGATCGGCAAGGCGAGACTTTCAAATCGCGAAATGTCGTTGTTGATTCGCGCGGATGCTGCCTCGCGACTCGTGCCAATCAGTAATCGGGGGAGGGGCTTCAAACAGCAACAAAAGAAAAATCAAGCAAGAGGACCACGATCGAGGGGAGGATGGTGCGTTACTCGGAACACGTGGGGTGAGATACTGTACGTCGTACGCAGGGAGGAAGAACAATCGTCGCGAACGTTGTCAGGGGAAAGACGCATAAGGGAAAGGAGAGAAGGAGGCGAAGGGGAGAAAGTGAACGGGAAAATGTGGGCGATACCAGACACGGGGAGGAAGAGAAGGAGAGAAAAACAATTCTTACCACACGGTTTTCAAGCACTTGTAAATTACCGCATAATTGAATTACAATACTTATTATACTATCACTTCTAATACCGTTGCTAACTATAACAACACCTACAAGAAAGAAGAAGAGGAAACAGCTAACTCCACTACTATTACTATTACTAACTACTATAACTACCGCTACTATTTTATTACTATTACCATTACTATTACTACCGCTACTACCACTACTACTATTACTATTGCTGCTGCTACTATCACTACTACTACTACTGCTACTACTACTACTATTACTACTACTACTACACTACTACTGTTACTATTACTACTACCGCTACTACTACTACTACAACTACAACTACTACAACTACTACCACTACTACTGCTACTACTACTACTACTATTACTACTACTACTACTACTATTACCAAACTATTCTACCGACTACTATCGTCGCTACTAGTGCTGTTACTATCATTACTGTAATACTAAGTGTGCTAATTACCGAAACACGTAAACGACAAAACATCAATTTACGTAATTTGTTCATTTGAAACACGAAGTCTTTTTGCAGAAAGAGAACCCGACTCGCCGTCGAGTCGTTGATGAACGCTCGTTTAAACGACGTACGACGGGATTTAAAAAAAAAAAGTGGACATAGAACGGGGTAATAGGTTCAAGAGAATTATATCTACATATAAGGGCTTGCTATACGCAACGCACGTGTCCGAAACGAGATTACATACTTACTGAGGTTACAACCATTATATTATACATTCAAAGAATATTTAACATACTGCCAATCGTACGAGGTGTTTTAAGCGAAAACACACACGAGAATACATAAGTGTACATAAGCGTGCGTCATTTTTTTCCTGCAACACGTTATGGATATACGATGTGTCTGTACGTAGGTAAGTGTACATATATCTGGTGATCGAAAGAGAGAGAGAGAGAGAGAGAGAGAGAGAGAGAGAGAGAGAGAAAGCGAGAAAACGAAGGAACGTACGAGTAGAATACGCGAGTAATTGAGTCGGTGAATTCGGGGAATCTGAGTAAGTCGGCCAATTCATTGAATCGATCGCTGGTCAACGATTTATTTCGAGAGTTGTTTTTCGCTCTTTAATTTTCCATCGCTCGTTTTCATCGTTCAAAGCTGAACAGAGTAAAATTGAAAAAAAGTGCGCGAAGTCCAAAAGATTGGACCGACTTACTTTGTTTCTCCAACGAGTGTTTCAATCGGTTTCCGACGCTGCTCTGCGCTTGTTCGCATAATTTTCGTGTATCGGCTAAGTCAAAATAAACGAGAATGTTGCCACTACGTAACGACATTAATTAATGTAAGTAGCTAATTCGAGAGTACGAGTGTATGTGCGAGCGAAACTGAGGAAAGGCCGGGAGAATGGCGTGGAGAACGAGAGAAAGGGAGTGCGCTTGATGATCCGGTATGTGATTCACGCAGAAAGATCCTTGGTGTCCATCATCGAGGTTGTTCGTAACAGTAAAATTTGATATCCTTTCTCGGTGACGCAATTAACTTTCAATACAAATTATGATTTGAATAAAAGCCGAATACTGAAAAAATATATTACAAAAGGTATGAGATGATGTAGAATACGCAAAAGTACGTCAAAAGTTTCTTCTTTTCAGAAAGAGTCACCGAGGATCTCGTGAGCGTATCTCTAGTGACGCGTAATCAGAATTGCGTGGTTTCTTCCCTTAAGTGCTTTAAAAACTCAATCGTATGTCGTATCGTCGCGTATAGATGTCGCTATAAAAGGAAACCTGTAATTAATTATTATAATTAGTAGGAACGCGCGGTACACAAGAAGAGAAACGTTATCGCGATTCATTAATATTGGCCCGCGTGTCTATCTTATCTTCAAATCGCATATTTTCTCATCTTTCCTACGTTTTCTTACGAATAAAATAGATTGGAACTACAGAGATTTGTTCACATTAAGTGTGGAAAAGATATTTAGAAAGAAGAATTTTTTCCTTTCTTTCCAAAAAATTTTATGTAGGGATTATTTAAAAATGGTCGGAGAAATGACTCACAGGCCAGTATTAGCGAATGACGTCGAACAAATCGGGATCGGCAACGATCTATCCGGAAGTCCG